AGGGTGGTCTCGGGCGAGAGGGGGCTGGAGATGGAGGAGGGCGGCAGGAAGATGTGGGCCTGCAGGCTGTGCTGGTGGGTCAGGGCGATGGCCACGTTGGTGGTGGCGGCCGCCGTCTGCAGGGGCGCGTGAACCAGCGGCTCCCAGATCACCGGCTTCCCGCTCAGCTCCCGGCCCATCGCCATCTGCTGCAGGTCCTGGATGTTGTGGGCCATGTCCTGGTCGTGCTTCACGATCTGCTGGATCATCTCGGTGTTCATGGGCCCCGAGCTGTGCTCGGCTCGCTTGCGGAGCAGGATGGAGTTCTTCTTCCCTGGGTGGAGGGCAGGGGTGTCACCAACCCTGCTCTCGGGGACACTGCGGAGGGCAGGGTGGCAGCAGGGAAGGGACAGTAAGGACCAGTGTGCCAGGGGAAGCAAAACCCTGGGGAGGGTCTGGGCTGGAGCAGAGGAAGCAACAGGGACAAAACATGGGAGTCCTGGCTCCAAAGGCTCCAGGATGGGGGCTGGGGTCCTGCTTGTCCTCTGCAGGCGAGGAGGGGAGAGGACAAGCAGCTGGCCAGCACCAGGCAGTGTAAGTGTGAGGGGGTGACAGTTTCCCTGGGAAGCCTGTCCTATAGCACTGCCTTGGAGGACAGAGGGATCCTGGAGGCAGGCTCCTTGGCTGTGCTCCCCCTCCTCCTCCTTGCTGGGCACCGTGGGCTGGGTGCTGTGATCCACAGGGTCTGTGATACCATCACCTGCAGGGCTGGGGTGCCGTGGCCCTGGGAACGGGCACAGAGGGGTCAGTCTCTCCTCACCTATGCGGTCCAGGCGGTCCATGGCCACCGTCTCGAAGGCCCTGCGCATCATGGGGTACTCCTCCAGCACCTCGTTGAAGTTGTCCACGGACAGGGAGTAGAGGCGGCAGTAGGTGTCGGCCCTCACGCTGGCCGTGCGCCTGCCCCGGGTCAGCAGGCAGATCTCTGCAGGGAGACAGGGCTGGGGGTCAGGGTGACGCTGCCACCCATCCCTTTCCCAGCAGGCAGAGTGGGAACAGGACTGCCTGGCACCCCAACACCCTGCACAGAGTGCAGCACGGCTCGGGAGGAGGGACAGACCCCAGAGCCTGGACAGGCACAGCCACACCCATGGCCAGGAATGGCCTTTTCCTCCCTCCCCAGGCCATGCAGATCCAGGCCTGGCTGCTGTGATGGCCTGGCCTGTTTTCCTCTCAGACTTGTGCCTGTGACCTATAAACTGTCTCAGATGTTCTGATTTAAACACCCTCTCCTCCCTGGTGGTGGGGTGGTGGATGCCTACTCTGCCCCAGACCTCAGCACTCCAGCTGCCCCTCTGGTCCCATCTGCTGAGCAAGGTACCCCAGGAGAGCATGGGGGCATCCTTCTGTGCCCCAGAGCCTGGGGTGAGGTGGATGCCAAGCCTTTGGCACCGGACAAAGGGGATGAGGGGGCAGAAACATCAGGGGTGCCCCAGTTTCTTCCCCCCCGGCAACTCTCACCCCCCTCTGCTCTCCAGTCCCCCCAGCCCAGCCTCACCCCCGAAGTAGGAGCCATCAGACAGCTTTGTCTCCTTGTTGCCCTTGGTGAGGATGCTGACCACCCCGTGCTGGATGAAGTACATCTTCTTGCCCACGGTGCCCTCGCGGATGATGAAGTCCCCGGGCTGGAAGACCTCGAAGCGCAGCTTGGTCAGCATGGCAGTCACAAAGTTGGGGTCGGCGTTGGCAAACAGGGGCATGTTGGCCACCAGGTTGCGGCAGTTGAAGTTGATGATCTCCTGTGGGGTGAGGAGCAGGGATGTCACCCAGCCTGGCCCCAGCAAGCACCAGCCCCTCTCCCCCGGGGTCGCCCATTTCAAGGTGCCTGCCCCCACCTCTTTGAGGGGCTCGCTGAGCTCCCCCAGGATGTTCTCCTCGTCAAACATCTTGCCCTGGTAGCGGTGCTCGTAGTACTCGTGGATCCGCTGGCGCGTGTCCCCGGGCAGCTTGTGGAAGGACATGTACTGCTCCACTTGCTTGTACTGTGGGGACAAGGGCAACACGCAGGAATGAGTTGGGACCCACTGCATGGCCAGACAATGCATCCACTCTCCTTGGTGGTGAGAAGTGAGGCCTCACCCCTGCTCCAGGGCCCCATCCCAAAAGGCCACCTCTGGGACAGAATGCAGGGGGTCCCAGGGGTTCCCAGGGCAGAGACCAGGATGGGGGTCCCAGGGGTTCCCAGGGCAGAGACCAGCATGGGGGGTCTCACTGCATCAGGGTGAACCCCAGCAGGATGAATGGGGTGTCTCTATCCCAACGGGCAGCCTGAGGTCCCTCCCCACACCCCCAGGGTGAGTGGCAGGGGCAGAGACCCCTCTCTCTGGAATCAGCAGGGCGAGACAGCTGTGCTGAGCTGGCTCTGGAGCCGGACCTGCTCATGCCAGGGCTCTCCCCCCAGTGCTCCCCTGACCCCGCTGACCTTCTCCTGGTACTGGCGGCGGGAGGAGTCCAGGGACTGGATGAGGGCGGTGGCGTGGCCGATGAACATGGCGTAGCAGGTGGCCCCCACGATCATGCTGAGCATGGTGAGCCAGACGTCGGTCATGCCCTCGGGCGCCTGCTGCCCGTAGCCGATGCAGAGCATGTGGCTCATGGCCTTGAACAGGGCGTGCGAGTACTGCTTCCCCCACGAGTCGTTCTGCAGGCGAGGGACAGCGGCGCTGGGGGGGCTGTTGGAAGGAGCTGAGGGGCTGAACCCCCCCAGTCCCCCTTCTTTAAGCTGGGAGTCCTCACAGGAGTTCAGAACTCCGGTGAGAAAAGTGTTGCTGATGTGTCCAAGCCTAAAGGGTCGAGCTCTGCTCCAGGAGGTGGCACTGGGATGGTGCGAAGCCCTGAGGTGGCACCAGCTCCTGCTCTGGGGAGGAGGCAGGAGGCCCACTGCCCTATCCACTCCCTGAGGGATTCCCTCACTCCAGCAAGGTGGGCCGAGATAGGAAGTTGAGGCAAAGATTCCCTGTGCCCCATCTCACTGCTGTGACCAGAGAGATGCTGCTCAGCAGCACGTAGTTCCAGGCAGCTCCAGCCTTGGAGCAGGAGATGTGTAACCAAATCCTCTCCCTCCTGTGGCAGATCCGGTCTGGAATCACCCCTGCCCGGGCACTCACCACCATGTGGTTCTTGGAGACCCAGCAGTCCTCGGGGAAGTCCTGCAGCATGGGCACCAGGAACTGGAGGCAGCCATCCCAGTGGCACAGCAGCAGCATCATGCCAATGAGGTTGAAGATCCTCACCACGGCGCTGGCCAGGTCGTACGTCATGTGGAAGATCTGGGGGACAGGCAGGAGTGAAGCTGCAGAGAAACTCTTCTCCTAGAACGGTCCTTGGAGCCTCTCTGCCCTCCAGCCAGACCATACCACACAGCCAGGGCCCCCCAGGCTGGCCTGAGACCCCAACCAGGGGACCCCCGAGGGGTTCTCACCTCCTCCCACTGGTGGATGTAGCGGATGAGGCGCGAGAGGCGCAGCAGGCGCAGGAGGCTCAGGATCTTGGTGAAGCGGACGATGCGCAGGGCCCGCGCTGTCTTGTAGACGTCAGAATCCACCTGGGTCTCCAGGTCGACGATGAGGAAGATGTAGTCGACAGGGATGGAGGAAACGAAGTCGACCAGGAACCAGCTCTTCAAGTACTTCATTTTGATGGTGTGGGGGTCGAGGATGATCTCCGTGTTGTCCTCCACCACGATGCCTGTCCGGAAGTTCAGCACCAGGTCAGCCAAGAAGAAAGTGTCCGAGAGCACGTTGAAAACGATCCAGGGAGGGGTGTTCTCGTCCTTGAAGAAGGTGATGCCCACGGGCAGGATGATCAAGTTCCCCACCATCAGGAGCAGCATGATGAGGTCCCAGTAAAACCTGCAGGGTGGGGATGTGGGGGACGGAGCGGGGCAGGGATGGAGCAGGGAGAGGCAGGACACAGGCGGGGTTAGACAGCAAAACCAGGCTCAAAGTTGGAGTCCAGCAGAGCATGGAGAGGCAGGTGCTGAGGACACACGTGCCTGCCCACACACATGACTAAGACCCTGCTACTTGGCTGGGACAGATGTGAGTAAACGTGTGTGGAGAGGAGCAATTCGGCACCGGGCCAGGGGTCCAGGGGGAAAATGTCACCTCCCGTGTGTGTGGGAGTGGGGGGCTCGAGGGGCTTGGCTGTCACTCTCATCTCCTAGTGGCATGACAGTGCATGCACACGTGTCCCCCAGCCCAAACTTGATGTGTGCCCTGTGGAGAACTCAGGGAGAATGTGGGCTTTGCTCCTTGGAGCTCCCAGAGCTCCCTGTCATCCGCCAGCTCCCCGCCACCACCCGGGATGGCTTAGCAGGATTTGGGATAAGCTTTGCTGGTTATGCAAACCGAGCCAAGCTCCGAGGGACTCGAGGAGGCTGTCAGGGTGAGCCAGGCCACAGCCAAGCAAGGATAGACAATGCCAATACCAGGGGAAGGTGGGAGGAATGTCTGTCTCCAAAGGAGCTGCCAGTGCACACCGGGCAGGAGCTGCACAGCCCTGGGCCTGCAGCACCCCTCATCCACCTCCTTTTGCTGAGACTGGATGAGCTCAGAGGCTTCGGAGGAAAAGCCAAGAGATTCCAAGAGCAGCTGGTTATGTCAGGACATCCAGCATCCCCGTTCATATGCAAATGCCCCTGGGATGTTTTCATTCTTCAGGCAGACACATAACAGCCTTCCTCCACCAGGCTCGTGATTCCTGGGATCCCAGCTCAGAGCCTTCCCAGGCCCCTGGGAAAGCAAGTCCAGCTCCCACTTCCAGGTGCCCCCATTAGCCCCAGCCCTGGCTGTGGGTATAGACCCGAATCTCCAAAGGTGACCTCAGGACAACTCTAAGTGCTGGTGGATCCAAACCAGCCTTGGCAGGTGATGGAAGTCTCTGGGTGTTTCCCACCCTGCACCCGCACTGGGACACAGGTACCAGGATCTCTGCGGGTGAGGGAAGGGAGGGGAGGGGAAGTTGTGGTGCCACAAGACACTCCTTCAGTAAGAGAGCACCAAAAGCTGGCAAGGGAGCAGGGGACACCCCAGGGCTGGGAGCCACCCACGGGTCAGGAGAGACTCCAGGGCTGGGAGCTACCCATGGGTCAGGAGAGACCCCAGGGCCAGGAGTCACCCCAAGGTCAGGAGCCACCCCAGGGCCAGGAGCAACCCCAGGGTTGAGGAGCCCACCCAAGGTCAGGAGCCACCCCAGGATCAGGAGCCTCTCACAAATTAACATCTTCTTGCCACGTCCAGGGTTTGCTGGGTCAGCTGAGGAGACACCAGCTGAGGCAGGAGGGGCTGAGCAATTGCCTCCTCACCTCCACACTCTGCCCCAAGAAACACCA